TGTGGCTTGGTGGGCGTGGCATGGCTTGGTGGGCAGGGCAGGGGAAGGATACTACAAAATCCCCATTTCCTCCCGATCAGCTGGGACTTGGAAGGCAGAGAATAGATGGCGGGGCCAGTTAGAATTTTTACTACCGGTTCTCCAAACTACTCAAAATTTCCACTACCGGTTCTCCAGAACTGGTCAGAACCTGCTGAAACCCACCTCTGGATCCTAGGTAGAAGCGTGTATTTCTCTCTCTGGGCACCAGTGGTGAAATCCAGCTGGATCTATCCAGCTCGTATGAGCTGGTAGGGCTGGCGGCAGGAGGCTCCACCCACCCGCTGGGACATCATCATGTCCCCGGTTTTTACCCTCTGCACGAGGCTCTGCGCATGTGCAGAAGAGGCACTCGCGAGTGCAGCAAGCGCACGCATGCGTGCACTCACATCTCCGATCCGGTTGCGAAGGTAAGTGCATTTTACCCCTGCTGGGCACAATGAGAATATATCTGCTGAACATAACTCCGCATTGGTGACAGGAAAGGCATCCGGCCATTAAAACACTCTGCTAGCTCCATTCGGTTGCCCAGACTCCACCCCGCGAGGGATTTTGGGGGTGGTTAAAAGAAGATGTATATTCGCCCTCATTCGTGAAAGACTGTCTTGTTTTTAAACGCTTGCGACAGCAAGAAACCCCACGCTGAGATTTTCATTTCTGTAACTGGCTTTATCCAAACCTCTTCAAAAACTAACTGGTTTCATTTTCCTTTGTTAAAGGATCTTTCTGAATCTGCTCAGAAAGATCCCAACTGCCTGGGCAGGTAGCTGCTTACCGCTGCAGATTCAGGCCAAACAAACCCCACGCATGCAGCTCCCGGTAGAAATTTAAACAGTTTCTTCCTGCTGTCACCATCAATCAGGAATAAAAGTACATTGTGCTTTTTCCTTCAGTGCTTGTTTTTGGAAAGGAGATAAATCCTTAGCAGATACAAAAGGCTCTCAGATATAGCGACAAACATCGCAAGACAGTTTACACAGAGCTTGTAACCTTGTTCTGCACTGAATTAGGATCAACATCACACAATACGCTAAGCCAAAATAGGAATAGCTTGGCTTTGACTCAGCCGTGTTGTACAAAGCAAGCCCCTGTAATTCACACGCCATGATTTATGACTTAATGTTGCGTGAATTCAGCCAATGGGGGCTTAGTCGACAAATCATTATTTCAGTGCAATACACAAACTATTTTTATAGTTTTGTTCTTCATCCGAATAATTTTAAGATGACCTTTTCTAGACTGTAACTTCTTTCCCAACATACTGGCTGGCTAAGACTAATCATATAAATTATGGTTTATTCAAACACGGCTTGCTGATACTGCAAAAAGTCCATTCCCACCCCACTCCTGGGAGAAGGATATTGCAAAAAGTCCATTCCCACCCCACTCCTGGGAGAAGGATATTGCAAAATCTCCATTCTCACCCCACTCCTGGGGGAAGGATATTGCAAAATCCCCATTCCCACCCCACTTCAGGGGAAGGATATTGCAAAATCCCCATTCCCACCCCACTTCAGGGGAAGGATACTGCAAAATCTCCATTCCCATCCCACTCCAGGGGGAAGGATACTGCAAAATCTCCATTCCCATCCCACTCCAGGGGGAAGGATACTGCAAAATCTCCATTCCCACCCCACTCTGGGGCCAGCCAGAGGTAGTATTTGCCGGTTCTCCGAACTGCTCAAAATTTGCACTACCGGTTCTCCAGAACCTGCTGGATTTCACCCCTGCAAGCATCAGCTCTACAAGAAGCTGTCAGATAGCAACTTGGCGCAGGAATAACCAGGATGTATTAGGGACAAGTTAGGATCCACAGCCTGTTTTTTTTTTTTCCAATCCATCTCCAAAACTTAAACCGCAAAGTATCCAGGGAGGATGATGTGATTATCCTTATTTGCCTTATTCGTCGGAAAAAAACACCCTGTTCTCCACACATACAGAAAAATTATATGCTACTTACTGGCAACAGTTCAAAGTTGCAAGCGGTCACTGAGAAGACAAACTGAGAAGACACTAGCCTAGGCACGAGAGGTCCTTGGTGCTCCCTAAGCTTTCTTTCTTTCTTGCAGACGTCTTATTAACCAAACTAGGTAACATCATCAGGGCTAGTTACCTAATTTAGGTAATGAAACATCTGCAAGGAAACAAGCAAGCTCGGAAAGCACCAAGGACTCCTCGTGTCAACCCTGGGTTACATATATTCTCCTTTATTAGCAGCCTAAGTATGGCTAGGAAAAAAATAGGTCCTGGCTAACAACATTTTGCAGATTCACTATTAAGTCATCTCAAATTAAATCTTGAGTTTCTGTGACAATGAAAGTTCCTTCGATCCAGGATTGCTTCCCGTCCAACTATGCCATTTGTCTTATTTTAAAGCTACCACCGTAATAAGAAGAAACTGCAGTGAAGCCGAACCAGCCAACTACACACTTAAATGAATGAGCTGACTTCATTTCAGCCAAGTATGCAGCTCTACGGGAATGTCAAAAAAGCATGCTTTCATCTAAACATGTACAGAGTTTCTTCTCATTCTCAGGAATCGCGGCTAGAAACCTGGACGTTTTATCAAGCTAGAAAACGTCCAGGTTTTCAAGGACAGTGAAGCCCAAGGGACGTGTTGCTTAGCACTAAAACATATGTTTCACTGACCAAAGATCCTTGGTTTTCGTCCCAGGGAAGGCTCTGATTTGAAACCTCAAAGACTTCTTAGTCAGTGCCTGCTTTCACCCAGCATATTAACCCACGGATAACCGAACCAGTCAGAATAAATTCAACTGCCTGGATTTGCACACCATACTGGACCACAAATTAGCTAAGCATCCTTCAGCTAACATATTGCAAACTCTGCTAAAAAATAAACAGTACGGAGCTAAATGGACAAACAGTTTGGCTTGGTCTTCAATTGCCTTCCTGTCTTCCCGCATTTCTTTTCGCAAAAAAACCCCTGCACCGATGCATGCTGAGTTCATACATCATGCCAAGACATCACTGGTTTGAACCAGAGTTTGCTGAGTAGCCACCATTGCCTGGATTCAGACATTTCACTAAGGCTCAGAGCAGAGGTGATTAAGACTCCTTTTTGAGGCCTTCAGAGGTCAGCTGTCAGGGCTCCAAGTAACACAGTTATTACCTGTTTGAAGGTGCAGGATATCTATCGCAAGTTAGTGCACTGCAACTACCGGTAATTGGTGTCTCCCAAACATACTTCAAGCTTCACTTTCACTCATTATGTGACGTGGTCCCATCGACTTGGCAACCACAGTCCCCAAAATGCTAAGCTTGAATCTTGGGCATCAAAATGGGTGTTTACCTTGGACTAAAGTGATGCACAACCCAACCACTGCCTACAAATCACAATTGAAGTTCAATGCTCTAAACCCAAACCAAGCTAACAATATGATTCCTTAAGATGCAAACAAGAAGTCAGATATATCTTCAATACCTCAATGGGAGGGAAAAAAAAACACCTACCTCTAGAACAGTTATAACCCAGTTACAGATTACAGATTAACAGAGTTGGAAGGGACCTTGTAGGTCACCTAGTCCAACCCCACCCCCACCCCCACTCAAGCAGGAGACTCTCTACACCATCTCGGACAAATGGAAGTCCAATCTCTTCTTGAAAGTCTCAAGTGATGAAGCTCCAGTTGCTGAAAAAAGCACCCTCTTTCAATTATGATTCAGTAGCTGCACTCACACATGTCAAACTACATTTAACCATAGCTTCTTAAAGAAGTCATAATTGGCTAAGTAGTCACACTGAACCTTAAAAAGAGAGAGAGAGAGATGTGCAAAGCACTGGTTAGCATTAAGATTGGTTCAGCATCCGTTGCTTAGACTGAGAAGTTCAACCAATCATTTTAGATCATGGTTCAACGAAGAGTACAAACCAGTGGTGAAATCCAATTTTTTTAAACTACCGGTTCTATGGGCATGGCTTGGTGGGCATGGTGTGCCTTGGTGGGCATGGCAAGGGAAGGATCCTGCAAAATCTCCATTCCCACCCCACTCCAGGGGAAGGATAATGCAAAATCCCCATTGCCTCCCACTCCTGGGGGAAGGATATTGCAAGAGCCTTGGTAGTACAGTGGTCTAAAGCACCCTGTTATTAAGACCAGCTGCCTGCAATTACTGCAGGTTCGAATCTCACCAGGCTCAAGGTTGACTCAGCCTTCCATCCTTTCTAAGGTAGGTAAATTGAGGACCCAGTTGTGGGGGCAATAAGCTGACTTTATATAAATATACAAAAGGATGAAGGCTATTGCTTAGCACATTGTAAGCCTCCCTGAGTCTCCGGAGAAGGGTGGTATATAAATCAAAAAAATTTTTAAAAAAAATCTCCATTCCCACCCCATTCTGGGGCCAGCCAGAGGTGGTGTTTGCCCGTTCTCCAAAACTACTCAAAATTTCCACTACCGGTTCTCCAGAACCTGTCAGAACCTGCTGAATTTCACCCCTGGTACAAACTCAGGATAATAATAAAAAAAACCTCAAATGATTAAACAGATGGAGAGTTTTCCTAGCAAGATTTTCAATTTAGTTTGGGGGGGGGTGACCATCGGGCAAAGATAAAACAACAACAACAACAACAACACAACAGGGATCTCTGGCTTGTTTCTGGCAAAGCAAGATTGAGCACACCCTACTTCATCAAGCCAGAGCTCAGGGAAGACTTAACCGCTGGCCCTCACGTGCAAAATGGAAACCTTCACCTCGGAGATTAACCGAGTTCGCGTGCCAAGCAAAACCAGCCACGACAAAAAATATAAACGAGCAGAAAAGGACCAAATTCAACGCACCACCCCGTGGGGAACTCGACCGAAGCCCCGCGACGGGTTTCGAACAGTACCAAAAGAAGAGGGGTCTCAAGCTGAGACCCCTCAACTAATAAATCGGTGACACAGGGGAGCCCAGCAGAGAATCCTACCAGTACAAAAAAAAAAATCAAATTGCTTCCTTACCTCGGATGCCGCTGAAGGCGGAGAAGGCGATCCAAAGCCCCAGCGGGAGCTGCCAGCAGGAGCTCGACCACTCCATGAGGTTCCTTCCAGCGCCGGACACCCGTCCCGTTCCTTAACTCCGCGGCTGTTTGCTGCGTTGTGTTTTTTGTTTTTTTTTGTGCTCTATCTCGCAGGGATGGAAGTCGGTGAGCGAGTGACTCAGTGCCCTCTCCGCCCCCTCGTTCCCCGGGGACTCAAGCCTGCCAGTTACGCCCGGTCTCCACGTGCTTCAGCCGGCCAGCCAATGGAGAGACCCGCCCCGAGGAAGCCGAAGGGGAGAAGGCAGGCTCGGCTGGCTGCCTCCCACCCACCCCCCAAAAAGAGCCGCCTCCTTTGGCTCGGATGAGTCCCGGTTGATGGACCGGGCTGGGCGGCTAAACGTCCACTTTTCCAAAAGGGAGAAAATAATACAATCGGTGCGCTCCTTTTTGGGGGCTCCAGGGGTGATTTTCTTAGCCATGGCGCGCAGGAGCTCGTGATTTATTAGCCGGATTCACGCAACTCCCTGGGAAGTAGACTAATGCTCAATCCGCGCAAGAGCTGAGCTGAGCTGACTCTGAACTAGGATGATCATTGATTCCACCCTGAAATGTAGGTCAGCGTCTGCCAGCTCAACCAACGGGGTTTCAGGTTTTATTTGTTTGTTTGTTTGTTTGTTTTATTTAGTTTGTCAAGCATGTATGAGAAAACAAGGATCAGTACCAACATAACATATATGTTCGTACTGATCCTTGTTTTCTCATACATGCTTGACAAACTAAATAAAACATATAAGTATAAACAGGTATAAGTATATATCGGTAGTGAAATCCAAATTCTTTTACTACGGGTTTTGTGGGCGTGGCGTGGCTTGGTGGGCGTGGCATGGGAAGGATACTGCAAAAGCTCCACTCCCATCCCACTCCAGGGGAAGGATACTGCAAAATCCCCATTCCCTTTTCTTGCCAGGGTTGTTAAAAGTCCATCACTGCCATTCTTAAATTAATCACAGGGTTGTTGAGTGAATCTGGCTTCCCCATTGATTTTTGCTTGTCAAGAATCAAAAGGATCACAAAAGGAGATCACGTGACACACACACACACACACACACACACACACACACACACACTCCGGGGATGCTGCACCTGTCATAAAGATGAATCAGTTGTCAAGCATCTGAATTTGATCACGTTGGATGCTGCAACGGTCATAAGTGTGAAAAACGGTCATCGCTGGCTTTTTTCAGTGCCGCTGTAACTTTGAACCGTCACTAAACGAATTGTTGTAAGCTGAGGACTACCTGTACTTCAACCGCTGCTTGGCACAGCTGTCTTAATTGTTCTACGGGATGCGCCACAGCTTTTATTATTACATTGTAACCCATGGCATATATCTGTGTGAGAGCTCAAGTTTGAATTGCTCTGCTGGGAGATTTGTAGCGCTCCAGATGTTGTCCAACTAGATCTTCCAATATTGCTTCAACATCAAGCGAATGTGAACGATAACATGGGTTGTTTTTGGTCTGTAAGTAAAGCGCTTATTATATCAGCTTGCAAAACCTGTTGGGACCTAATCTTCACAAGAGACACTGACCCACATTTTTGGATAGGGTGTGGCCAAAGCCTTCAACCATTCTCCATGCAGGAATGGTATAGAAATTAATGAGCTGCTCTGGTGCATCTCTGTATGAGTCACTGGACCAGCTGGCTAGCTTCCTAAATGGAAGCACTGGCTTATGCAAACATGCAGAGGATGGTTGTTGTTTTGTTTCAAACTGGAACATTCTTAATTTTTAGATAAAACAATCCGTGGCTCCCTCGGACCATCTCTTCAGAGATATTTCCTTCCCAGGTTCCTCAAGGCGTTCAACAATGGCTGAGCTTCTGAATTTTCTTAAAAATCCTTTTAGATTAATTTTATATCCTGTAATGTTTTTATAAAACTTGCCAAATTTGAATTCCACAGGGAAATATTTAGAGAGGTATCTGCCTGGAAAGTAGTTCATGCTGAACTGCATAGCACAGTCCTACATCAGCAGGAAATGTTTGGTGACATTTGGCATTATGTCATAAAATGCTTTGTGATTAATTTTATGTCACGTCATGTTTTATAAAACTTGCCAAATTTGAATTCCACAGGAGTCACGGGTCCCAGAGTTTTGACGCGTTCTGTAGGTTGGTCCATTTGAGGTCCGTTGGTTCACAATTTTTTTGCTCTATGATGCACCATTTTACCCAGTTAAAAGTTACAGACATGCGAGTTTTAATAGGAAAGAAAGAATGCATGAAAGTTTGGTCAGGGAGCACCGGAAATTGGGAATGTCTAGTCTAGAGGTGACAAACTTGATTTCATTGAGGGCCACATCAGGGTTGTGTTTGACCTCGGAGGGCTGGGGAGGGCGTGGCCACTAATATACAACTCAATTTTTATTTCAATTTATTAATCAAAATTCTTTCTATTCTTAGTTTCTAGACCCATTTCATCCAATCCCATGGGGTTTTTAGATCTCGCCCGTGGGGCCGCCCTGGAAACAGCAACGGATTGGCCCGTGGCCTCTGTCACCAAAAATGCACTTGGCCACCAGAGGTGCCCCCCCGACATTAGTGGCCACACCCACTCTGGCCACACCCACCCTTTCATAATCTGTAAGTATGGTACATTGTTTTACAGAAGCATCTCTACTCTTTTGACCTGAACCCACTCACCCCCCAAAAAATCAAATTTCTAGTTTCTGATACTCAACTTGAAACACAACTTCTATGTGTTGCATAGCCTCTACGTTTTTAAAAACAGACGTAAAAGAAAAATCAGAGGTTTCTTTCACACATATTTCTTCATTTTGATTTTGGAAAGCATAATTGATTGTGGCGCAGTGGTTAGAGTGCAGTACTGCAGCTACTTCAGCTGACTGCTAGTTCAGCAGATCAGCAGATCAAATCTCACCGGCTCAAGGTTGATTCAGCCTTCCATCCTTCCAAGGTGGGTAAAATGAGGACCCAAATTGTTGGGGGCAATATGCTATTTAGTATACTATCTTTGGTGTAAGCCCCCCAGAGTCCTCGGAGAGTGGGCAGCATAGAAATATGACTAATGAAATAAAAATAAATAAATAAAAACAAATTTTAAAACAAAATAGTGCTATTACAAAAACTTTTAGGTTTAGTTTACACATCCACTACTAGATGTTTTAGTGATGGGAAAAAAAGGGATAAAAGCAATAAATATTGATTATAATTCCTGCTATTGCTATTAAGACAACTGACTACCTATAATAAAAAAGTTGTTTCCCAGCTATTAAAACAAATTACGCTCTCTTTCTTTAATCTGCCTAAGGCCCAGATTCTATTACTGCAGTTAAATAAGAACAAATCCTCATCGAATCAATAGCAAATGTATTGAAAACCATTTACATAAATATCTGACTGAGGGGAGGAGTGGGAGGGGGCAGCTCCCTTCTTGAAAAAGCCAATCTATGATGATTGATTAAGCTACACGTATATTTCATTAAAAGTATTTTGCACTCCTTACTCTATTGAGAAATAGAAAATATGCCAGGAAAAAAACCTCTAGCAAACATCAAATGGGGGAGGTCCTTTTTATCAGACACTATTGATTTTTGACTGAACAACCTAGATAATAGAGGTATCTGATAGAGGTATCAGTACGTCCTTGCAGAGTTGTCATGACCTAACAACTACATGTGATTGGCAGGCGTTGATAGATTGTTTTTTTTTTAAATAAATTTTATACATTAACAAATATGCAGTAACATATAAACAGATACGCAATAACATCCATCATATTATAACATATATTGTCTTCCATTATGGTGTGGATTATATAACCATCAAGTAAAAAAAAATTACCCATCTGTTTTCTCATATACACCATATTTCACCCAATTTTACAATGACAGTCCATCTCTTTCCATCTTTCTTCTTTTTCCAGTCCTTCCCTTCTCCCCTCCACTTCTCTCTCCTTCCCTCTTTCCTTCTCCTCTTCTCCTCTCTACTTCCCTCTACATCCCTCTCTCCTTCTCCTCTCCCCTCTCTACTTCCCTCTCCTCCCTTTTCCTCACCTCTCCCTTCTCCTCTCTCTTCTTCTCTGCTTCCCTCTCCTTCTCCTTTCTCCTACTCCTCTCCTCCCATCCACTTCCCTCTCTCCTTTCCCCTCTCTACTTCCCCCTTCTTCCATCTCCTTCCTTCTCCTCTTCCCTCGTCCTTTCTCCCCTCCTCTCCTCCACCACACTCCACTCCACTCCATTCCCTTCCCTCTTTCTCTATTTATTACATTTCTCTATTTATTACATCTCTACAGTGCTTAATAAACATCGTGTTGTCTGGGTATTTAAATTGCTTAACAATACAAATTCCCTTCTTAATCTCCACCCCTTTTTCCCAACTATTGGTAAAATAAGTTCCGTGTTTGATAATATTCTGTGTCTTCTTTCTGTTTGATTTTCAATGTAAGTCTAGCCATTTCTGCACAATCTTAATATCTTCTTAATTATCTCTTCATCTTGCGGTGTTTCTTCATCTTTCCAATATTGTGCAAAAATAATCCTCGCGGCTGTTAAAACATGTAATACTAAATCCATACTTATCAAATTTTTCTGGTATCATCCCTAATAAAAACAATTCAAGTTTAAAATCTACATGTTTCCCTATTATCTTTTCTATCCATCTGTGTATTTTTGCCCAAATTTTTTTTGTGGTTTTAACACAAGCCCACCACGTATGATAAAATATGCCTGTTTTTTATTACATGTCCAACATTTGCTAATTTTAAACATTTTAACTAAGCTAGCAGATGGTAAATTCCATCTATAAAATATTTTATATAAATTTTCTTTATAAGAAGTTGCCATTCTTATACCTATAGTTTTTTTCCCATAAAGGTTGACATTTCTCTAGTTTGTTTGTTTTTTATTTATTTATTTATTTATTTATTTATTTATTTATTTATTAAATTTTTATACCGCCCCCTCTCCCGAAGGACTCGGGGCGGTCAACAGCCAGAATTAAAAACACACAATACAAATATTAAAATACATTAAAACAAAATTAAATTATCTTTGGCTTCTCCAATTTTAAAACCCCTTACCCATAAAGTTCTATGTTATAGCAAAACTTTTTGTGTTGATTGATTTATTATGTGCCATCAAGTCCTTTTTGACTCTTAGAAACCACATATTTTTTTCTCCATGATAATCCATCCCTTATATATTCTTTTAAATCTCTCAACAGGACACTCATCGC